TCTTACAGTAGTTTATTTGGTGCGAATTACTTAAATATCAATATTAAGTATTACTATCAACCAGACATATTTATTAAAAATACGTACTATAAATTCACACCACAGACGTGTATAGTCTGATATTTATTTTTTTTTATGTGAAAATTATAAAATTTTTAGTTTTAAAGCATTTTATTCGATAAATCTTTATAAGTCGAAAATTATTTCAATATTACGAATTTTGAATTAAATATACGTATGTATAATTAATGTCGTGTTGCAACACCGTTGTGTACAAATTTTATTTTGCTAAATGAGATTCCACATATATCATTGCGAACAGTAAGGAACGATAAATAATGCAGAAGCAAATGAAATAATAAGATAATTTTTAATATTAAAATTCATCGACACACACATATATATATAACTAATAATAAATTTTTATAATGTTTAAATAATAAATTGTTATATATATATGTGTGTGTGTGTGTGTGTGTGTGTGTGTGTGTGTCGTGCGTGCGTGCGTGTGTGTGTGTGTGTGTTGCGTGTGTGTGCGCGCGCGCGCGCGCGTGTGTGTGTGTGTAAATATATATTTTCGTTAATTCACATAACAAAAATTGAAAACAAATCAATATATAATTTAAAATGAATAGATAAAGCACACACTCAATTTAGGTGCACTTATAATTTAGCAAGTTTTATTTATATATTTATACTATATATGTTTATACATTTATATTATATTATTATATCTAACAGGAAGTTTATTCTAATATAATATGGCTACAATTCTGTTACTAAGCAGGTAATAATATATAGTTTAACTACTTCAAACAAGATCGCAAAAAAATGAAAATCTTGATGAATGCAGTCTTACAGTTTTGTAAATATAAAGGCATCTGATAGTAATACATCTAAATAAACAATATTTAAAGCAGTATAAAAATAGTACATGCAATATAAAAAAATTATTCATATAAAGTACGTTTACGTATAAAAAGCTGCAATTTTGTTTCATCCACCGATTAGAAGAAAATACTTGCAGAATACTGTCTCTGCTGCTTTTGATTTGTCCATTGCGAATATCAACCTGGTTTGTTATTTGATTAATTAACTCCTCCTGATTTATCACACGGTCACTCATCTAAAACACATCATTTTATTAATTATAATATAATTAAATAAATATAGTAATCTCATTCCGCATTATACAAATCCTAATGTATATTAACAAAGATTGTCATAATGAAATCAACATACTGGTTATATAACAAATAAGCAAATATAAAAATAATATTCAAAAATTAATAAGGTATAACAATATTTTATTTTCTTTCGCTTTCCATAATAATATACATATATTAAACTTACTTCCTTTATTCGATATTTTCTAAATTGATCTGTGTTCACTTCAATTACGTTAGTTTCTACAATATTTTTAGTTCGTATTAAAAACTCTATTGTCTAAAATGTATAATTTTAATACCATTAAACATAAACAACGTTATGGTAACATTATGAAAATTATTTTAAACATTAAATAATAATTATTAATATCGCATTATTATCATATTTTGTATACATATATTTAAACATGTAAAATTTTTACCTCAGCTATATTTTCAGAATATACGTTATTAATCATAATAATTAATGCTGCAATTATATTAACATTTCTAAAAACAAAAAAATTCGATGTATATACATAATAAATATAATAAACTTTTGTACAAAATATTTATAAAAATATGTCACTTTACTTTGGTTTTATTTCGTTAAAATTTTTGAATATATACTCCAGTATACTTAAATTCTTCGCATGCTTCGTAATAAAATGTAAGAAACTGTTAACGAGAAATTGATTTCCCTGTTTTGTATAAGTGTGCTGTTTATGACTCTCTCTAAAATAGTTTTTGATGAAATCAGTATCTTCAATGCAAGCGAAATATTCTGAAAATTTAATGTCAGTTTTTTCCAATCCTCTCGTATACATTGTTCCAAAAATGGTCTCATTTCTCGTAGTTATCATCAAACCTCTACAATATGTCCATGTCTTCCACCATGGCAAAAGTCTAAAATATAAATAAAATTTAATTTTATTATTAAAGATTGGCGTATCAACTCATTTAAACATTATAGAAGATATTTACAGGGAAATTTGATTAAAAAAAGCTAAATATATATAATAATATTTACCTGTGTTTAATAGGATCTTTGATATGTTGTTTTAATTTATTTTTGCTTCTTTTATACAAGTGATGTCACCGAGAAAACATGCCCATCTTGCAGCTTCTTGTCGTAAACATATTCTAAGTTCATCTGCATCATCAATTTCTTCATATTGGATTTTTGCAAGTAACTCGTGTAATATGGTTTTTATCCCATTTATTCTATTCTAAAAATCATTAAATAAATATTTCTTTATTAATATGTTTATAATTATAATTCATCGACAAATATTTTAAGCATCCAGCTATTTATCCAATAACAATGTTATATATTAATATTATTTACAGTAGTGAAAATCATACACTTTGAAGACTGTTCATCGCGTGAGTGATTATTCAAACTGAATTTGTTTGCACATTTATGTGAGACGTAATAATATGTAAAACTTTATCGCTAGATATATTTCTCTATAAATATTTAAATTATTTGTAATCAATTAGTGTATATATAAATATTTAAATGTAACACTTTCATTGAAGTTGATTAATATTTACCCCAAATTTTGCAGTTTTTACTTTCACTGGAAAAATACTAAACATGTATTCCAGAGCTTTAAACATAGGATACCATGCTATATAATCTTCTTCTTTATCCAAATACGATGTGATATTCCAGAATATAGAGGCGTTGAGTTGGCCTGCTATCACTAAATGAAATGCATCATCGATAATTTGAGCACGATTAAGAACATGAATTGTCGTAAAATCATTATATGATAGATAATTTGAAATTCTTCGCCAATTCTCATCATCATAGTTAACGCGGTAATATCCTGTCGAATAATAAATAAATTTTAACAATTTTTATTATTTTGAATAATTTTTATTCTTAATATACATTTAACTTCAAACATTTTTGTTTAATAGTTTCGTTTATATAAATTATAAATTAAAAACGTATCAAAAATTCAATAAGATGCAAATACATATTGAAAATTAATTATAAATTAAAAATGAAATTGTGCGAGATAATGTTGTATAGCATAAAATAAAATTGATTCTAGTTGTGCATATGTATAATAATTATTTTTACTAATCAGCAAAAGTTCTGTAACATGAAACTGTACAAGAATTTTATTTCATTTGTATATTTATATAAGTATACTAATTTTTCAAATATAATTAACGTTTTAATCATTTTTATTATTATTAGAATAAAATATTTGTAAAAATATAACTTTAATATTGATTAATATTATGTAGAAAACGCCGATATCTTATTAATTATATATAATAATACAGAACATTATACAAAACATTTTAAAATTATGGTAGTTATATATAAGAATATCTCAGATTTATAATAATGTATAAAGCAAAAAAAATATAAAATAATGTCAATTGTGTATGTGTGTAAAATAAAGACAAGTAATAAGTCATGATAAGTCCATTGATCGATATTTACCAATTTGTTGTAAATTGATTATAACCCAACCTTTCTCTTCTATTGAGAATGAAATAACATCATCTTGTGATTTGCATAGCGCGCGGTGATCAAGACTGTCAAAATCGGGAACCGACTGGATAGTATAAGTTACAGGTAAGCAATCAATTTTTAATGTGTCGGGATTTTGTATCGATAAATTTATTTTCGTCTTTTTCAAAAGACCATAAGTTCGTTCTACTTTGATAAGAGGACAATGCTCTTCTAAAGTCCAATTTGCCATTGTTTGTAATGATAATTGAAGTTTATCTAGCTTATTTGCATCAGCAACAACTTCTTCCAAAAAAGTCATAAAACTTTGACGATGAAATTGGCTAAAATCACAAAGTACGTAAATTATGTAAAAATAACATTATAAATAAAATTAAAATTGTATTTATAATTTTAATATTTTAATATTATAAAAAATTTTAATAAATACTAAGAAGCAAAATATAATTGTACTTATTTGTATTTGTGTATTTATATATCTTATATTTATATTATGATAATAACATAATATTAAATATAATTTTATAATTTTATTTAATTTATAATATAAACTATGAAGTCACCAGATGATAATTAAAAATGGTAGTAATTCAATCGACCAATTCTGGCAAATAATTAAATTTATTGTATTTTTACAACGTTTCGGCCGTGGGATTCGGCCCTTATCAAGTGCTATGTTCTTAAATCAGAGTAAATCACAATCTTTTTAAAAAACAAAAATTCGATCTTAAAATATGACATTATATAATAACCTGATAGTATAAAACGAAATAACTATTGTTATTATATATGTGATATAGTTATTTCGTTTTATACTATCAGGTTATTATATAATGTCATATTTTAAGATCGAATTTCTGTTTTTTAAAAAAGTTGTGATTTACTCTGATTTAAGAACATAGCACTTGATAAGGGCCGAACCCTACGGCCGAAACGTTGTAAAAATACAATAAATTTAATTATTTGCCAGAATTGGTCGATTGAATTACTACCATTTTTTATTTAATTTGTTAGGCATTTCTTTATACTATTACTAGTAATGCCAATTTATCACTTATTTCGAGTACTTTACTTATTACTTATTTCGAGTATTTAAATTACTGTATATCATATTTTAAATATTCGAAGTAAGTGATTAATTGGCGTTATTAGTGATAAATTTCTACAAGAGTTAATAATACAGATTATATTTGGAAAAAGTATTGACAGATGAGTTATAAAATGATTAATAAAAGAAATAACAAAACAAGAAATGATATACAAATATAATAAAAGAGATTGTTCTACGAAAGAAATAAAATAAAAATAAAGAAAGTAACAAAAAAAGATATACGTGTCAGATATATTTAAAATAACATTAAAAAACAAATGTATCACAAAATTCAATTAAAAAAAAACAGATATTATAAGACTTATAGACGATATGAAGAAAAGGAATTAATAAAAAATAAAAATTAATTTAAAAATGATTTTGGAAAATAATAAATTATGAAACAAAAATAAAACAACGTTGAATATATGTATTATATGAAAAAGTAAAAAAACAACATATTGTTTCAACAAAAGCGGTTTTCATAGTAAAAGTAACGAAAGTGAAGGTAAATCTAGTAGCAGATGTAGGAAAAAAGCGGAATTGTAAAACTAAAAAAAAGCAATATGAAATAATGTCAGCAAAAGCGAAATAATAAGGGACAATATATAAAATTTGTATTATAATAAATTATTTAAGATTTAAATGATTTTATTTTCTTATATTATATACTCACGTGCTATTTGTATATGAGCGAACGCCTTTTTGAAATATTTCTTTGGTTACGGCGTGTTGCATCATGCGCAGTATACAGGGTGCTACAATTTACATCAAAATTATAAATTAGATATATTATAAATATATGTTTATTATAATGGTTACATGTAAAGTGGTTTTATATATTATAAGGCAAAATTATTTGTATATATATATACAAGGTACAGTAATCGCATAACAGTGAAATGTCTTCTATTGCCGCACGGTTTATCATTTGATTTTAAAGTAAATTTTTCGTTATAAAGATATAGCAAAACATTAAAAGACCATTTGATTAATATCTTCTACACACATATGTGTAATTATACCGAACACTTCGTGTGTGTATATATATTTATATATATTATTTGGTATAATATATATAAATATATATATATATATATATATATATTATATTATACCAAATAATATATATATATATATATGTATATATGTATATACCTTAAATATTAATTAAAAAATATACATAAATATGCACGTGTGTGTGTGCTTTTATAATTTTATTTTTTTAATAGAATTCAGATAAAGAATTAATTATTTTATAATTTCACAAATATTTTTATAATATTAATAATTCAAAATTTACGCGAATTATTTTATTATATTACGTTATATACCTCTGATGGATTCGCGAATTTTCAATAAACTGTCATCTTCTGAAGTAGAATTCCACATACGATAATCACCATCCAAATAAAAAGAAGTATGTTGATTTTGAACAACAAATAAATTTATTATTCGATTATCTGGATAAATCTGTAAAACAAAAATTATTAATATATCGATATAACCACTCTGAAAATACTTGCATTAGAAATAAATACTAATATCATTAGCGGTTCTTCTATGTTAAAAGAGAACACTTTCTTATTTTGAAATACACATACGAATAAATATAATAATAAAATCTAAAATATTTAAAAATATCAGATAAAGTGAGGGGGGGGGGAGGACGTGTTCAAAAAAACTTTTTTTATACTTAACATTGTTTACATTATATTTATATGAATGTAAACATTTAAGAAATTAGTTTTAAAAAACGATTTAATATTGTATACATATGTATTATTGCTAAATGTTTTTAAAATCATTTTGCAAAAATTTATGCATTTTATAAAAAGAATTTGATATACGACAATCTTGCTATATAAATGCTTAAGTATGTTATCGTTTCCGAAAAAGTGGGAGCGTGATAGCGTTCAAAATAAAAAAAAGTATGTTGATTTTGAACAACAAATAAATGTGTATTATTCGATTATCTCGATACATCTAAAGAAAAAATTTAATTTAATATATCAATATAACCGCTCTGAAAATACATGCATTAGAAGGAAATACTAATATCATTAGCGGTTCTTTTATGTTAAAAGGGACACCTTTTTACTTTAAAAACACATATGAGTAAATATAAAAATAAAATTATAAATTTTGTATTATTATAATTAACAAATATTACATACTTTTAAATTATTATCTCATGATATATTATATCGCAGAGTTCTCTTTATCAAAATAAGTCAAATAAATATCGGATATAATAGTTTCTGATTAATTTAAGTTATTTTAGATTTTATAAAAATCTGTATGTATAATTACCGTCCGTCTCTCTGTCTGTCTGACCGTAAACTGCTTCCACATTTGTGGACTGATTTTCATCAAATTGGTACCAAAATTTCGCAAATTTTCCGGGAAGTGTGACTATGGTAATTATTTGTAAGTTTTACGTCTCCACCCACGCAATCGCATATTTATGGACCAATTTTTTTTAAATTGATATCAAAATGTTGCAAATTTTTCTGAGAAAACTACTGTGTGGTTTTTTTTAAGTTTTATTCTCTTTACGCATCTACACACGCAATCACATATTTATTCACCGATTTTCTCGAAATTGGTACAAAATTTCACATTCTTTCGGAAATGGCTACTATGTGTTTTTATTTAGTTTTACACTACTACATACGCATCCGCCCACGCATACATACATTTATTGATTAATTTTCTCGAAATTAGATATCTATTTATATTTATATATACAAGTTGCAAATTTTTTGGGGATGCGTGGGTGGAGATGTAAAACTTACAAATAATTACCATAGTCACACTTCCCGGAAAATTTGCGAAATTTGGTACCAATTTGATGAAAATTAGTCCACAAATGTGGAAGCAGTTTACGGTCAGACAGACAGAGAGACGGACGGTAATTATACATACAGATTTTTATAAAATCTAAAATAACTTAAATCAATCAGAAACTATTATATCCGATTTGTGATGAGATGGTGTTTTTTTAATTTAAAATTTTTTTTTAACATAGAGAAGGGTATGTTTCCGCAAAAAAATGTTTTGCAGATTTTTATGCCAATGTGTTCGAAATGTTCCAAAATATCGAGAAATCACATTTAAAAAAAATTTGTATGTAAAACTTTCACCCACGCACTCACACATATATTGATTTATTTTCGGTACCAAAATCATGAAAATTTTTGGGATGACGACGACAGACAGACGGACAAATGGACAGACAAATAGATAGATATTAAATAAAGTATAACTAAATATTATATATCTTTGTTTTGTAAAATAAAAATTGTGTGAAAACTAGTAAGGGCGGAATCAGTGTTGGGTGAAGGCTTTGAGGCCCGCGTGAAGAGCGAACCGAAAAGCTAGTATAATAATATGAGATAAAGTGATGTTAAAATATAAAGAAAGTTTTCATATCTTACATTATATTTATATGAATATAAATATTTGAAAAAGTATTTTTAAAAACAGTATAATATTGTATACGTATGTATATATTGTTTAATATTGTATACATATGTATATATTGTTAAAAAGAATTTATACGATTTGTAAAAATAATTTCATATACAAAAATCTTGCTATATAAATGCTTAAGTATGTTATTGTTTCCGAGAAAATGGGAGGTGATAGCATTAAAATTATTTAGAATAACCTTATTGACAGTATTCATTGCAAGCAATGTAGTAAGAGCTTTGTTGAACCAAGAAGCCGATCGAAACGGATTGTTCAGATTATAAAACCATTGCTGTGTCACTTTATGTCCTACTAATTGAGCTACTTCGATTTTGTGAGCAACAGGATACAAATTTTTATCGTAAACGATATCCATTTCGCTGAAAGTAATATTTAAATGTTCGACTGAGAACTTTGTGTACATAATAAAATTTCAATTAGCAAATTGGTATTGTAATACGTAACAAATAATATTTTTTGTAATTTTTAATTTAAGTATAAAGCAATGATTTTGTGTTAATGCGTAAATCATTGATGAAAAACTTTAGTTTTAATAAATAAAAAAATGTTATTTCTTTATAGCTTTATTACAATTTTAAATTTACCTTAGGAGATACGATATAACATAAAATTTTTACCTTTATGTATGTATATATTAGAACAATAAGTGCAACATTTTGAATTATAATACGAATAAACTTAATTTTCACTACTTAAAATTGTTGTTTTCACAATATCTTATACTTTTGCACGTTTACAGAAACAAAATATATATACTACATGTTTTTCAGTTTTATAATTTTTGCATACTAATATATAATTTTACTTTTAATGTAATTTTAAGCACTTGTACTTACTTATACAAAACAAGTCCAAAAACTATTATGCCATTATCAGGGAAATTTGGAATTGCAACATGAGTCACTTTCGAAATTTGTTCGAACGTTGTTTCCATGTATCTTTGAACAACATCGTGATTTCTTCAGCTACATTCTTTGCAAATTCCATGTGAAATAAAGATTCGTATCTGCACCACATTTCAATGTTTTGAGTATAATTATCAACACGTAATAAGTAATTGGATACAATTATTGTTGCAAGATACGGCGACATTGCAGGTGTGGTATCGAAGCGTTTCAATAATATATTGTGCTTGTTTTTTTCTGTATTTTGCAATGGCATATTTGACAAAGCCGTGCATTGATTACATCCTATAGATATGTTAAAAGTTGCTTCTAACAATAAATTTTGTTGACTCCAACATGAAGACAATTGTCGAGCGCCTATTATATGGAAATGAGTAGCAGCTACCAAACTATACATTTTAAAAAACATATATGAATGAAACATTTTTAACAAGCATCAAAATGTTGGAATTTAAAAATGTTTAATGTAATATGTAATAATATGCATTATAAGTATAAAATTAGTAGTCTTTATATTTAAATTGCATGATATATAATAATTTTTGAAACATTTAATACAAAATAATATATATTAATTACGAGATTTTATGTAATTGCACATTGCACATTGATTTTAATAAACATATATTATTTGCTTACGCAATTTTTTTTTTCACATCGAAAATTCTAAAGACTTCATCAGTAAAACCAAAATATGTAATATATAAAGTGTAATTTCCTGGTAATAACTTATCCTTAAAATAAAGGTCAATTATGTCTTCTTGAATATCATATGTCGGTTTATAAACTGTATACTTAATATTCTCATGATGTTTTTCTAGATTTTTAATTAAAATTATATTTTCAAAATATAATTTTTCTGAATGTATGTTGTTGATTAATATATGTTGCGTTTTGTTAAGAATGTTGATGCTGATATTGTATTCTCCATAGAAAATGTTTTCTTCTATACATGATATAAACATGATATCGTAATGATTTGGTTTTATATATTTGATGGTTGATAGCATAAAGACGATTGATTAGGAGTAGAAGCCGTCCCAACGATATACATTATTCCGCTAATTAATAGTAGAAATATCATCGTGTCGAAAAATTTATTTTAGTCTGTAAAACACACTGTAAGCAAAGGACAAATAGAGAAATTAAATATAGTATTGATGTCTTTTATAAATTACTAGACGACACAATAGCGCGCTTGGCGCACGCTTTTGATATTATTATTCATTTTACAATTGTCAATTGTTAATTTTTGCGATGACAGTTGCTTGATGCTATAAAAATAATCATAATTTTAATTAGCCGAATTTCTATTTTGATATCTATTTTGTATATATACTGATAGTAGAATACTAATACGTTTGAGAAATACAACTTAATAATAAGTAAAAATTAACTTTTGATCATTTTTAATTTTAATATATTTGACAGGATAATTAATTTTTACGACCATTACTGACTAATGAATATTTAATAATCACCACCCAACGTTTCGACCATGGGTTTTGGTCCTTCTCAAGTGTACTTAAAATTAAAAACTGTGAACATATTATTCGAATGAAACTTCTTGTCGAACCGTGATAAAATAATAGCCAAGGACTATACAACCTTAAATATATTGACATCACAAGTAAGTATTAAAATACACACAGATATTTTTTATAAATAATAAAAAATACGAAAATTTTTTAAAATAGAATTTTAATAATCTAGTAATAAAAGAACATTTAAAAGTATTTATTATAATATTCATTATCTGTTAATTACAGTATTTTTTAGTTTCAAAAATTATTTATTCGACAACAAACTATTGTGAGTTCAAGATTATTTTAACTGTGGCGATAAAATTCATTTTATATTTCAATTTTATTTGATATATTAAATCGAATTGAGAACGAAAGTCAGCGATCGAATATATGTATATATATGACAACGAGCGAAAGAATCATAATAAACAAGTAAAGACAAAGTATCAAAACAAGCAAAATATAACAACGGACAGCCTAACCGATATAGGCAAAAGAATTGATAACATGTCACTCATTGTCAGCGAACTCGCTGAAGAAAGGACAAATAGAATTATTTTAAATTATATATATCTCTGGATTGAAATTTACAAATAATTTTGAATAAAACTATTCTCTTTATTCCTATACATATGTTGGAAATTCTATAAAATTCTGTCCTACCAAATGATTAAATTTTCTTGCATTTATAGACACATGTTTTATATGTATAAAAGTTCTTCTGACTTACCGAATATTTCGAAACAGAATGTTAATTGGAAAACTATATTGATTAAACTATATATTGTTTTAAAAATAAACTGCAGCAAATTAATGCTTTAGAAGTATGCAATGTTGGAAGAATATAATATATTCACACACTTTATTAAAAGTATATTATATCTACGGCGACGTGGTTCGAAAGACCACGAAAGACTGACTGATTCTCTGGACGTGTCTTCATGCTAAATATGATGTGTTAAATCAAAACTTCTGAGGTCGTTATATATATATATATATATATATATATATATATTTTGGTGTATGGCGGCATTTGTGTGTAACGGTTGATTTAATTTAGCACATTTAACTTTTGTCCACTTAATCAAATAATTAGGCATTGTTTATACACATTTATATGACTTATTTCAACAAACATTTTTGCTAAAAATATTGTGTAATTTCTCGTCATATACTCATCCTTCGATAATTTTATTTTAATAATTCAATTAGTATAATATGTCATTATTTAATATAAATGTATGCAGTTGCACATTGCTATAAATTGCAATTTTTTTAAATCACTGGAATGTTTTTTTATACCAATCAATTTATCCACATTGTTTTGTGCAAAAATTATTTTGATAAAATAATATTGGAAGATAAATACATTATATGATGTTTCATATTTATGTCAGAAAAGAACATAAAACGTTTAAAAAATAAAGATAATTATCAAATCTCAACAATGTTCCATCTGAAATAAGACCATATATTTACGACGCGACGCGCTTTTTCTAAATTTTATAAATAATGTATAAAGTATATTTTTCGGAAGAGAAATTTTGGTTATGAAATTACAACAATACCTAATTTAAAATGGGACACTTTATATTGTTTTGTTAGAAACATACATTTAATTATACATGTCCTTATGTACAATACTGTGTCTTTATACTGTACCTACTCCTGTATGTATAAGTATATATTATAATATAGTAAATATTATAATCGCGCGCGCGATTCCTTATTAATCGCGATATGTGCTATGTTTTTCTCTTTTTATATCAATTTTTTCTAATTTTAAAATTTTAATACTTTGATTGTTTGTTACATCGTACTCTATGCGCCAAACTATAAAGATTTATAACTGATAAAATTAGTATTTTTATATAACATTTTTGTAAAAAGTTAATACAAAATGTTTTTCAAAATTTGTTTTACTTATTTTTCAAATTATTTATATACTAAATAAATAAACTGTGAGAATAAAGCCAGAATAGAATACAATTTTGAATATAAATTGTGACTTTCCGATCTCAATACTCTTTTATAATAATAATCATTTATTTGAAACTAATAATATCGATTAAATGTGAAAAACATTTATTGTTTGATGTAAGAAAATTCTTTTCAAAACAGATAAATATTTATTTGTATCATATAAATAATTTATATAGCAGTATAAAAATAAAAATATTTTTTAATTTAATAATATTTCCAATGCAGTGATACTCTTTTATACTTGTCAATTTTATATTTTTGGCAATATGTAAAACATTAAATTGATTTTAATTGTATAAGTAAAAATTAAATTAAATTATTATTAATTTTTATTTAAATCTCTGAAGAAATTAATAATTGATTCTTCTTTTTTACAGTATTATATGTTAAATGTCACAATTACTCAAATATCAATGAAAGTATTAAATCAATCATAAATATCTTTTAAAAATGCGTACTACAAATTTACACACACAGACATGTGTTTAGTCTGATATTTATTTTCTTTTATGTGTAAATTATAATATTTTTCAATTTTAAAGGCATTTTATTCGATAAATTTTTATGGGTCAAAAGTTATTTGAATATTACGAATCTTGAATTAAGTATACGTAAATATGTGCGTATATTACATAGCAGCTCCGTTTTCATATTCTAATCGATGAACTACAGAAAGATTTTAAAATATTTTAATTGTTTTTTGATCTTTTTTGTATTTTTTGTTCATGTTACAAAATTGTTGTACAAATTTTACTTTGCTAAAAGAGATTCGACATTTATCATTAAGAATAGTAAGAAACGAAATAATGGAAAGCTAAATAAAATAATAAAATAATTTTATAATATTAAAATTTCTACAATTTCCGTTTCTACAATTTTAAAGTTATGCTATATAATTTTAAAAATATTAATATTAATATTAATAACTTTTTAAAATTAAAATGTGGATTTACATTACGAAGAGAGAGAGAGAGAGAGAGAGAGATTGTCATGTTATTTATTGTAAACTAAGAAAATGCTAATCCATCACAAATTCTACATAATTAATAATATTAAATGTACAAATTAATTAATTACAGTATTATATATAGTTCAACTACTTCAAACAAGATCGCAAAAAAAAAATAAAATCTTGATTCATGCAGTCATAGTTTTATAAATGTAAATATAAAGGCATCGGATAGTAATACATCTAAATAAACAATATTTAAAGCAGTAGAAGTAATAATACGTACAATATAAAAAAATTATTCATATGATGTATGTTCACGTATGCAAAGCTGCAATTTCTTTTTTACACTCACAGATTAGAACAAAAGACTTTCAAAATACTGCTTCTGTCTTCGGATTTGTTTGTTGCGAAAATAAATCCGGGTTATAATTCGGGCGTATATGTAATTTATCGCACTGTCTCTCATCTAAAACAAATATCGTTTCATTAATTATAATATAATTAAATAAATAATAATCTTATTCCGCATTATAAAGATCTTAATATATATAAACAAAGATTTGCATAATAAAATTAACATACTGTTTTAATAAAACAAATATAAAAATTATATAAAAAAACTATTAATCTCGGCTCGAATTATTGTGTTACAATAAAAATAAAATCTCGACGGCAATCGGAGCCTATGCGGATGACATGCACAAAATTAATAAATTAAAATGAGATCTCAAGTCAAACTCATTTATTAAATTCTAAACGTTTCGACCCACTTCGGGTCTTCTTCAGTAGCTGCAAAATACAAAGAAACAAAATAGAAGATAATCGGTACAATCAGAAAATTATAAAACTCATATACATACAATCCGCAAATAAATTAAATATCATTCTCCTCCCTATTCAAACCGTCCGGCCGTCGGAGTGTCTCCCTAACGGTGACCATCGTCAGGAAGGAAGCGGAGCAGTGACTCCCTTACCAACACTAATCAACATGGTATAAATTAAACGTAGAACAATTCACAAGAATTAAAAATTAAGAACCGGAAGAACACTCACCCCGACAGCAAAAACAGAGAGAAGACGATGCTACACGTGACACATCACTCTAACGACTGTGCGGTATTCTACCTCGACACAGTCGATACATATATACGCAAAAAACAAATATAAAAATAAAATATGAAAATAAAAATAAAAATAAAACAACTAAACTAATCGGCACTCATGTCAAAAGTCTAACAAAAAACCCGGCTATGTAAAATCAACAAAGCTAGATTTTGGTAAATTTTTCTATTAACAGATCAAGATTCTCGTTTAATTTATCAGTGTCACTATGTAAATTTAAACTATTCCTCTGACGTTTTATGTGGATCATTTCGGATATCAAACGTTTACCTAAAAAAGGCTCCTCGTCTAAGACTTTTACATCCTCCCAATTAAATTCATGGTTCAATAATCTATGTTCCGATATGACTGATAATTGTGACGCGTTTCTTTTTATGTTGTTGCGATGTTCTTTCATCCTAGTTTTCAACAATCTACCCGTCTGCCCTACGTACGACGCATCACAATCCATACAATCAATTTTATAAACTACATTATTATGGAGCTCTCTTGGTAACTTATCCTTGTGTACTTTAATGAATTTACGGAGACTGTTAATTGCTGTATATGATGGAATGACATCCAAATCACGTGTAATGTCCTCGATTCTCTTCGATACATTATTAATATACGGAATATTAAAGTACGAAACTTTTTCTGCGTTAGAATCTTGTCATTGCATACATTTGCTCTATTGTTATGCAACTTATTATTATAGCGGAAGAACAACTTTTTAACCGCGCTTGTAATGTATGAAATATAAATTGAGAGGATAATTATTAGACAAAAGAATTCCAATCATAGACTCAAAGTTAACTTTATGGAATTTCGGATGAGATAGCCAAAAAACTCTATCTATGAGGCTGATAATGGTGCCTTTTTATGACAGAGAGGATGCTGCGATTCAAAATTTAAATATCTACCTGAATACGTCGGCTTATGAAACAAATCAAACTCAATGCTCCCATTATTTATAATAATGGTGACATCTAAAAAATTCAATCGGTTGTCAACCCCCTCCTCCATGGTGAACTGCAATCTAGGATGGAAAGAATTGAAAGTGTTTAAAACTATTTTAAGCATGGAGGGTGGGGCCGCCAACGCGATATCGTCAACATATCTAAAAGAGATCTCATTTTAATTTATTAATTTTGTGCATGTCATCCGCATAGGCTCCGATTGCCGTCGAGATTTTATTTTTATAAAAATTATATTCAGAATTTAATAAGATAGAACAATATTTCATTCTTTTTCGCTTTTTTTAATAATATTTATTAAATTTACCTCCTTTATTTGAAGTCTTCTATAATGAATTGTGTTATTTACTTCAACTAAGTTAGTTTCTAGAATACTGTAAGCGTTCATCATTATTTTCTAAAATGTATAATTTTAATACTATTATTAATAAACAACGTTCGCGTGTAACATTATCAAAATTATTTTAAACATTAAATAATAATTATTAATATTGCATTATTATCATATTTTGTATACATATTTAAACATGTAAAATTTTTACCAGAGCTAAATTTTTGGAATATACGTTATTAATCATAATACTTAATGCTGCAATTATATTAACATTTCTAAAAACAAAAATAAAATCAGATATATATATATATATATATATATATAATATAATAAACTTTTGTACAAAATATTTATAAAAATATGTCACTTTACTTTGGTTTTATTTTGGTAAAATTATCTAATATATACGACAATATATCTGGATTCTTCGCCTGCTTTGTAATAAAATGTAAGAACCTGTTAACGAGAAATTGATCTTCCTGTTTTGTATAAGTGTCCTGTTTACGACTTAAATATTTTTTGATGAAATCGATATCTTCAATGCAAGCCAAGTATTCTGAAAATTTAATGTCAGTTTTTTTTAATCCTCTATTATACACTGTTTCAAAAGTGGTCTCATTTCTCGTAGTTTTCATCAAACCTCTACAATATGTCCATGTCTTCCACCATGGCAAAAGTCTAAAATATAAATAGAATTTAATTTTATTATTAAAGATTGGCGTATCAACTCATTTGAACATTATAGGAGATATCTACATGGAAATTTGATTAAGAAAAGCTAAATATATATAACAATATTTACCTGTGTTTTATAGGATCTTGGAGATGTTGTTCTAATTTATTTTTCGCTTCTTCCATACAATTGATTTCACCGAGAAAACATGCCCATCTTGCAGCTTCTTGTCGTAAACATATTCTAAGTTCGTCTGCATCATTAATTTCTTCATATTTGATTTTTGCAAGTAAGTCGTTTAATATAATTTTTAGCCTAAATATACCCTAAAAATCATTAAATATATATTTCTTTAATATGTTTATAATTATAATTCATCGACAAAGATTTTAAGCATCCAGCTATGTATCCAATAACAATGTTATATATTAATATTATTGACAGTAGTAAAAATCATACATTTTGAAAACTGTTCATCGCGTGAGTGATTATTCAAACTGAATTAGTTTGCACATTTATGTGAGACGTAATAATATGTAAAACTTTATCGCTAGATATATTTCTCTATAAATATTTAAATTATTTGTGATCAATCAGTGTATATATAAATATTTAAATGTAATACTTTCATTGAAATTGATTAATATTTACCGCAAATTTTTCAGTTTTTTCTTCCACTGGAAAAATACTAAACATGTATTCCAGAGCTTTAAACATAGGATACCATGCGATATAATCTTCTTCTCGATACAAATACGATATAATATTCCAGAATATAGAGACTTTGTGTTGGCCTGCTATCATTAAATGAAATGCATCATCGATAATTTGGGCACGATTAAGAACATGAATTGTCGTAAAATCATCATAGTATAGATAATCTGAAATTCTTCGCCAATTCTCATCATCATAGTTAACGCGGTAATATCCTGTCAAATAATAAATAAATTTTAACAATTTTTATTATTTTGAATAATTTTTGTTATTAATAAATATTTAACTTCAAACATTTTTGTTTAATAGTTTCGTTTATATAAATTATAAATTAAAAACGTATCAAAAATTCAATAACATGCAAATACATATTGAAAATTAATTATAAATTATAAATGAAATTGTGCGAGATATTGTTGTATAGCATAAAATAAAATTGATTCTAGTTGTGCATATATAATAATTATTTTATACTAATCAGTAAAATTTCTGTATATAACATAAAACTGTACAAAAATTTTATTTCATTTGTATATTTATATAAGTATACTAATTTTATAAATATAATTAACATTTTAATCATTTTTACTATGATTAGAATAAAATATTTGTAAAAATATGACTTTAATATTGATTGATATTATGTTGAAAACACCGATATATACATTTTATTAATTATATATAATAATACAGCAGAACATTACACAAAACGTTTAAAACTATAGTAGTTATATAATGAATATCTCAGATTTATATCTTATAATGTATAAAACAGAAAAAATATAAAATAATGTTAATTGTGTACGTGTGTAAAATAAAGACGAGTAATAAGTCATAATAAGTCCATTGGTCGATATTTACTATTTGTTGTACATTTACTATAATCCAACCACGCTCTTTATGTGTGACTATAAGAACTATATTATTTGATTTGCATAAAAGGCGGTGCATCAAACTGTCAAAATCGGGAACCGACTGGATAGTATAAGTTACAGGAACGCAATCAATTTTTAATATGTCGGAATTTTGTATCGATATATTATAATGGCTCCGAGAATTAGTATAATTTTGTACTACTTTAATGAGAGGACAATGTTCTTCCAAAGTCCAATATTTCATTGTTTGTAATGATATATCAATATCTACATTTTTTGCATCAGCAACAACTTCTTCCAAAAAGTCATAAAACTTTGACGATGAAATTGGCTAAATCCACAATGTATGTAAATTATGCAAAAAAAACATTATAAATATGTTAAAATTGTATGTATAATTTTAATATTATGAGAAATTTTAATAAATACTAAGAAGCAGAATATAATTGCATTTCTATTTGAATTATGATAATAACATTATATTAAATAAAATTTAATAATTTTATTTAATTTGTTAGGCATTAATAATACAGATTATATTTGATCAAAGAGATTGAGAGAGTTATAAAATAATTAATAAAAGAAATAACTAAACAAATCAAATGAAAATAAAAACAAAACAAGAAATAATAAAAATATAATAAAAGAGATTGTTCTACGAAAGAAATAAAATAAAAATAAAGAAAGTAACAAAAAAAAGATATACGTGTCAGATATATTTAAAATAACATTAAAAAACAAATGTAGCACAAAATTCAATTAAAAAAAAACAGATATTATAAGACTTATAGACGATATGAAGAAAAGGAATTAATAAAAAATAGAAATTAATTTAAAAATGATTTTGGAAAATAATAAATTATGAAACAAAATAAAACAACGTTGAATATATGTATTATATGAAAAAGTAAAAAAACAACATATTGTTTCAACAAAAGCGGTTTTCATAGTAAAAGTAACGAAAGTGAAGGTAAATCTAGTAGCAGATGTAGGAAAAAAGCGGAATTGTAAAACTAAAAAAAAGCAATATGAAATAATGTCAGCAAAAGCGAAATAATAAGGGACAATATATAAAATTTGTATTATAATAAATTATTTAAGATTTAAATGATTTTATTTTCTTATATTATATACTCACGTGCTATTTGTATATGAGCCAACTCCTTTTTGAAATATTTCTTTGGTTACGGCGTGTTGCATCATGCGCAGTATACAGGGTGCTACAATTTACATCAAAATTATAAATTAGATATAATATAAATATATATATTTATTATAATAGTTACATGTTACCGTAGTGATATTATAAAGAAAAATTTTATATATATATATATATATATATATATATATATAATATACAGGTATATGTATACATAAAAATATGTTTATAGATATGTACCTATATGTATATATTTTAAATATTAATTAAAGAATATACATAAATATGCATATGTGTGTGTGTATGTGTGTGTGTGTGTGTGTGTGTGTGTGTGTGTGTGTGTGTACTTTTATAATCTCATTTTTCAATAAAATCTAGATGAAGAATTAATTATCTTATAACTTTACACATATTTTTATAATATTAATAGTTCAAAATTTTTGCAAATTATTTTATTACATTACGTTATATACCTCTGATGGATTCGCGAATTTTCAAGAAACTGTAATCTCGTAAAGTAGAATTCCACATACTAGAATCATCTAAATAAAAAGAAGTATGTTGATTTTGAACAACAAATAAATTTATTATTCGATTATCTGGATACATCTATAAAAAAAATAATTATTATATCAATATAATTGCTCTGAACATACTTGCATGAGAAAAAAATACTAATATTATTAGCGGTTCTTCTATATTAAAAATAACACTTTCTCATTTTGTAAAACATACGAATAAATATAATAAAAACTAAAATATTTAAAAATATCAGATAAAGTGTGGAAAGGGGGTGTTAAAAAAAATTTGTTTCATATTTTGCATTGTTCACATTATATTTATATGAATGTAAATATTTATAAAACAGTTCAATATTGTATACATATGTATATATTGCTAAATGTTTTTAAAATAATTTAGCAAGAATTTATGCATTTTGTAAAAATAATTTGATATACGAAAATCTTGCTATATAAATGCTTAAGTATGTTATCGTTTCCGAGAAAGTGGAAGGTGATAGCGTTGAAAATATTTAGAATAACCTCATTGACAGCATACGTTGCAAGCAATGTAGTAAGAGCTTTATTAAACCAAGCTAATTGAAATGGATTGCTCAGATTATAAAACCATTGCTGTGTCACTTTATGTCCTACTAATCGAGATACTTCGATTTTGCGAGCAACAGGATATAAGTTTTTATCGTAAACGATATCCATTTCGCTGAAAGTTATATTTAAATGTTAGACTGAGAACTTTTATAGAAAATAAAATTTTATTTTTGTTGTAATTTTCTAATTTTATTGTTAGATGTACAATTTACAAACTCATGAGTACAAGGTAGCAAATCAGTATTTTTAATCATACCAAATAATAATTCTTTAAATTTTTAATTATTAACAGTGAATAACGCGTATCATTGATAAATAACTATATTTTTAAATGAATAAAAAAATGTCAACAAACTCAAACTTTGTTAATTATAAAAATAAACTTAATTTTTACTAATGGGAAAATATTTAAAACGATCAACTGGCTATTATTAATGGTGTTGATTTATTTGTGCAACAACGTTTTGAATCTGAATTAGGTCCTCTTCATATTAATCAATACAAAGAAAATTACAAATTATATAATACAAATAAAAAATTCTAATAAATGATATACAAAGAGCAAAGTCAAAAATATATAATAAAAATATAAAAAATTATCAAAATTAATAAATAAAAAGTAACCTGATGTTAAACGTCAATGTTAATTAATACATCTTAAATAATCAGATAGTAGATATTTGTTCACGAACGTGTGAATCAACATATAACAAAAAGTAGAAATTAATTTATATACGGTTCTTAA